GGGGGGGATGGAGCTTAGACTACAGAAAGACTCTGAGGGAGATGTGGGGAGAGCAGCGGGGGCTGGGGGTGTGGTGATGCTGGGAACAGAAAGGCACAATCTCCTCCTTTCCTTCCTTCCCACCTTCCTTCCTTCCTTTCTTCCTCTCTTTTCCTTCAGGGACGAGGGGGTCAGGAGTGGCTTCTCTGGGCAGGGGGTCTGAAGCTCTGGTCCTTTTGCCCCAGAGGAGCTGGCTTCCCCTCTGTGGGCTGAGAGAGGAGGTAATTAATGACAGGGAGGCTAGGAGGGGTGAGTGTTCAGGGCTAATGTTGGTATTAATCAGGAGCTGGTCCCCAGTGAGGGATAGGATTCAGCTGGGGCACTGTGTGTGTGTGTGTGTGTTTGCACATGTGTGTTGGGGGGGGTGAGGGCTATGGGGGACCAGGAGCTCCTGACTTATCCCTTCAGCATCCCTCCCTCCCCATAGTGTCCCCCCACCATATCCAGCCCTCCTGCCCCTGCCCCTGTGTCTTTGTTTTTCTGGAAGTCCCTCCTGGTATGTGTCTTTCAACATCCTGCTGAGGGAGGGGCAGATTCCTCCTCAAGTCCATGTCCATCTCTGTATGTGGGGGTGGGGCAGGCCACCCCCTCCCCACAAACCCCTCACTAGCCCTTCCTGTGGGCAGGCGCATTAGGTGATTCCCGAGGCTGTCAGCCCAGCTAATTGCCTCTCAACCTTCCCCTCATCACCAGGGAGGCCCCCCATGAACTCCATTAGCCCCCCTCCTCTGATAGCCCCTAAATCAGCCCCATTTATTCACAGAAGGGGGGTCTGGGCTGAACTGTGATTACAGCTAGAGTGGAGGGATGGATGAGGGAGGGATGGGAGTTTGAGTTTGAGTGCCAGGCAGGCTGGTGGGCAGGCCAGAGGCAGGACTGGAAGGGGAAGAGGAGGGGCTGGGGGTCCTGTGGGCAGATTCAGACCAGGGACCACCCAGGGCCAGGGATCTGGGCACCTGAAATAGAGGGGGAGGCCAGGCCAGGCTGGAGGGTGGACAGCTGGGGGTCCTGACTTGTATTTCAGGGACTCCCCACTAAGACCTGGGAGGGTGAAGAAGGGGGGTTGGATGGGCATGGCGCCTGTGAGTGGGTCAGCCTGATCACTGTTATCAGTGTCATTGCCATGCATTTATGACAAGCTTGCTTGAGAGGATGGGAGAGCCACGAGAATGCTCTATCCTTGTAGGGCTTTCCTGAGAGGACCTCACCGCTCTGAGCCTGGCCCAGGCCAGCCACCCACCCACGCGATGTGTGGGGGGAGACAACTTTCTCTGTCTGTGTGTTCTAGCCAGCGCATCTCTGCGGGGCCATGGGTGAGATGGCAGTGGTAGTGGTGGTGGGGAGGAGGACACAGCCTGGCCCAGGCCAGCCACCCACCCACGCGATGTGTGGGGGGAGGCAACTTTCTCTGTCTGTGTGTTCTAGCCAGCGCATCTCTGCGGGGCCATGGGTGAGATGGCAGTGGTAGTGGTGGTGGGGAGGAGGACATGTGCGCGGTGTGTGTTGACACTCAACCTGCCTGGGTGAGTTGTGTGTGCAGGAGACAGTGAGGCCAGCCTCGTGCTCAACTCTCAGCTGCTCTTCCCAAGCAGGACCGGGGAGCCAGGATGCTCTGTGCACATTCCTTCTAGGCAGCAGCCTCCAGGACTCCTTACAAACCCTTTCGCACCCTGCAGGGAAGAGGTGCCTCCACCCTGTCCCCAGCTTCCATCTTAGCCCTTGCCATAGTGTCCACCCACTCGTCAGCACTCCCCGGGCCAGTCACTGCCGCTGCTCGCCTGGATGAGTGCAGCAGCCTCTTCACTGGCCTCCCTGCTCCCTATAGCCTCTTCTCAACACAACAGTAATAATTCTGTTAAAATCTGAGTTGGATCACGGTCCCTCTCTACTCAAAATTCTGCTCTGATTACATCCCCATCTCACACAGAACAAAATCCAACAGCCTTACCCATAGCCTAAGAGGCCTTGCAGGATTTGGCCCCCATTACACCTCTTTTTCAATATCTGCCACCAGGCTCCCCATTACACACTGGGTTCCACTCTCTGAAAAGAGTTATTATTGTTCTTTGAACATGGCACACACTCTGGCCTTGGCCTTTGTCCTTGCTGTTCCACCTGCCTGGAATGCTCTTCCCCCCAAAACCTGCATGGCTCCCTCCTTCAGTTCCTTTAGCTTTTCCCCTGGAGCCTACCTTCTCACCGAGACCTTCCCTGATCACGTTTCCAAAAACTGTACCCTCACTACTCTCTATCCTTTTCCCTGGTTCATTCTCTATTTTTTATGGTAATACTTTTCATCATCTAATGTGTCATGATTTTACTGATTTAGCTTCTTTATCATCCCTTCACCACCATCACTACTAGAATATAGGCTTCATTTTTTTACTTTCCATATTTAGGCAGAAATTTGTGTTTATTTCCTTTACAGTTGTAGCTCCAATGCCTGCACATAGAAGGTACTCAATAAATCTTTGTTCAATGAACAAATGAATAAACGATTCTTTCCCTATTAGCATGTGAGCTCTTTGCGGACAAGAAACTCTTACTTATTGCCTAAATTATTAAATATAAAGATCTTAGAATAGTGCCTAGTAATCAGTAGGTGTTCATTTAATAAAAATTAGTAGTAGCTATTAACATCATACCATCATCATCATCATCACCATCATGATTGTTATTTCCTCCGTGTCCTGGGCCCTAGGTAAACACAAAACAGTGCTCGTTGAACAAAAGGATGAATGAGGACTTTGGGTCCCCTTCTACCTTCCTGGTGGGCCTCCGGGGGACTTTCCTCCTTCCGGCTGTAGGCCTGAGCCCAGGAGGCAGAGCTGGGGTCCAGGGAGCTGGAAGAGCATTGCACAGGCACCAGGTGGCAGCCTTTCACTCAACGTTTACTGAGCACTTACTCTGTGCTAGGCCCTGGGAGTACCAAGATGATTTCGACCAGCCCCTGTCCTTGAAGAACTCAGAATCTAGGGGGAGAGAGGCAAGTGTTAAACTTTTACACGCAAGAGTGGGATGGGGGTGGCTGGGACTGGGCCTGGAAAGGCTTCCAGAAAAAGGGCAGTTGAGCTGAATGTGAAAGGATGAGAACAAGTGAGCCAGATGAAGGAAGGGAAGAGTGCCTTCTTCTTCATCCTCTTCTTCGCTGGGCCTCAGTCTCCCCATTTGCCCCTGGAAAGTGCTGGATCAGGTGACTTTCAAGGCCCCCTTGGCCTCTGACTTGCTGCAACTGTATGGTCTTTGGTCTGAGGCCCTTGAGCGGTGCTCTGGTTTCTGCTGCCGCCTGCTGGAGACTCTTGGCGGAACGGAACTCCCCTGAAAAACAACCCTGACCCTTGCCTTCTCCCCTTTCTTCCCCAAAGCCAGCAGAACTTTCCATTCCGTCTGTCCACACACACCTCCCACCCCTAAAAGCACCAACTAAATAACATTTGCTTGTCTCTCAGATCGAAGTTTCCTAGATAAAAAATATTCTAAGTACATATTTTAGACAAAAGGACTTGAAACTAGAATAAAGAATTCTTAACTGTTATGACCCAGCAATCCCATTTCCAAGTAGCTACCAAGATAAATGAGAATATATGTCCACAAAAAATTGTACATGACTGTTCATAGTAGCTTTATTCATAGTAGTCACAAACTGGAAAAGAGCCAGTGCCCACCAGCTGGTGTAAAGGTGAGACAAGGTGTATCCATACAGTGGAACAGTGCTCAGTATAAAGAGCAACGAATGATTGAAAAACTTTATGGTAACTGAAAGAAGCCAGACATGAGCAAGCACGCATTGTATGATTTCATTTATATGGAAATTCTAGAACAAACAAATCTGCAGTGACAGTAAGCAGAACAGAGATTTCACAGGGCCAGGGATGGGGGTTGAGAATGGAACTTGGAGGTATTTTGCAAAGGGGAACAAGTGAACTTTTGGGGGAGATTGAAATTTTAAACATTTTTTTTATTGGGATGGTGGTTACACAGATGAATACGTTTTTCAAAACCCATCGAACATTATGCTAAGTGAAATAAGCTAGACACAAAAGGACAAATATTGTATGATTTCATTTATTTGAGGTACCTAGAATAGTCAAATTGATAGAGAAGGTAGAACAGTGCCAGGTAGATTGCCAGGAGCTGGGGAAGTGGGGAATGGGGAGTTATTGTTTAATGGGTTCAGAGTTTCAGTTTGAGATGATGAGAAATTTCTGGCGATGGATAGTATTGATGATTGCACGCAATGTGATGTACTTAATGCCACCGAACTGTGTACTTTATGTATGAGCATATTTTACCAAAAAAAAAAAAAAAAAAAAAAAAATCTAAAAAACAAAACTCACCAAACTGTACACCTTAAGTGGGTACATTTTTATTGCACACAATTATACCCCAATAAAGTTTATTTTAAAAGTCTCCCGGGAGGGAGGTTCCTGCTTTGCTCTTTCTGAACTATTGCAGTTCACTCTGTGGCTGGCTGTGTGATGCAGTGGTTTGGAGACTGAGCCCTGTAAAATGCTACTTCTGCCACTTAACTAGTGTCCTAAACCGCAGGGGGCGTCCGTCATCATATGTAAATGAGCCTGATGATGGAACCAAACTCGATTTTAAGGATTAAATGAGGCAATGCACCTGAAGGGCTAACGATGATGACAGCAAATGTTAATCAGATTAGGGAAGGGTGTTCAGGTCCGGTCTGCGGGCGGAGGGGTTGAGGGAGGAGGCTGCTGGCCGCCAGGTGGCGCAGCCGCGCCGGGCTCAGTCAGCCCAGAAGCCGACTGCGGGACGGTAGACAGAAGCCCAGGACCCGGGGACCGAGGGGACGGGTATAGGTGGGGACTGTGGGGGAGGAGAGCAGGGGCCTGTGCCCGTCCGCCTCTCCCGGACTAGGATGCGGCGGTTGGTCCCCGGGTTGGGTGTTTTATAAAATCACGGTGATTGCGCAGACTGGAAAGTGGCCGACGTAGATGACCTCACTGATTCCTCCCCACAGCCCCACTTTGCAGATGGGAAAGCTGAGGCGTGAGAGGTTGCGTAACTCCGGGCCAGCCACACAGCGAGTGGACAGCCGCGGAGGGACTCGGGCAGCGCCCCTGCGCTATCTCCCGGTGTCGTCCCCTCTCCGCTCCGGCCCGCGCTCCGCCTCTGTGATCCCACCCCCACCACAGTTTTCCCTCCTGGGCGCTCTGGATCTCTCCGCCCCCGGCTCCCGGTTTCCTTGTCAAACCTTCCTGCCTTGGCAGGGGCCCGAGTCCCCACCCCCTTCCTGCCCCCCGCCCCTCCGCGCCCCTCCTCGCCCCGCGATCCGCGGCCTTCGGCTTCCGCGCCGCTCCCGCAGTCGGGCTGGGGCTCAGCGTAGGGACCCTCGCCCGGTCCTCCGCCGCCCAGTCCTCCCCGCCGACCCCAGCGGCCCCCACCCCAGGCCGGCGGAGAGACAGGGCCCGAGGCAGGTGAGTGACCCGCGCCTGGGAGGCCCCGGTGGTGGGCCCCGAGACCACCCTGCCCCGAGGAAAGGGCGTGCGGACGCGGGGCCTCTCCCCGACTGCGGCTCGAGACCCCCGGGGGGGAGTGGGGAAAAAGACGGACAGACGAGACGTGAAGGCGGGGAAGCGGGCGCAGTGGAGAGGGGCCAAACGGGGATAGATCGAAGGTTTCCATCGTTAAAAAACATGTAAATGAAATGCCAATGAGGCTGCTTCCCAAGGGCCTTTAAGAGGACTTCGTGAGTCCGGGGCAGCCTCCATCCCGCTGGCTCCCTCTCGGGGCTGGTGGGAGAAGGGTGTCTCTCCTTTGCTCAAGGGAGTGGACGACGGTAGGAGCATTGACACTGGAGTCAAGGCTGCCTAGGTTCGAATCTCGGCTCTGCAGCTTACAAGCTGTGGGGTTTTGGTCAAGAGACTTCACCTTTGTGCCTCAGCTTCTCATTTCTAAAAGGGGAATAATGAAATGTAGTGTCTACCTCATGGGGTTGTTGTGAGCTGAAGCTTAGATGAGCAAATGTCTTCCGCACTGAGCAGTGCCTGGTCAGTGTTTACTATCAGTGTGGCCCTTCTCCCACGAGGGAGGGTGTAGGGAAAGGGACCCAGGTTGTGGATCCCTGGCTTTCACAGTTTTACCAGTTATGAGGACTAGGAAGTTGGTTCAAGGTCTCAGGCATCTGGATCTTCAGGAAGTTCTCTGGGCCAATGATCTGAGGTAGTGCTAACAGCCAGGCAGGTGTGTGTCTATGAGGGGTGGCCAGGGGCTGAGGCCCCAGGAGCCCAGGCCCCAGCAAAGCCATCCTTCACCCCCACCCCCATTTCCAGCCTCCATTAATTGACTCTTGGCTCCCCTGTTGGCCTTTTATGAGTGGCCTCCCTTGGGGCTGGGCTGTGACCCCAGTCTCTGGGGACGGGAACAGCTTGTGCTGCCCTGAGTTTCCCAGGCTCAACCAGGCCTCAGCTTCAGGCAGGATCAAGCAAAGGGTCAACTCTCAACCCTGGCCTAAGCTGGGCCTTGGGGTGGGAGCTGTTCTCTGAACCCCACCCCAACTCAATTCAAGGTATGATACCTATGTGTGTGCATGTGAGCCAGGGTGTGGGGACAACTCTCCTGTCTTCTGTCTGTGTCTCTCCTCTGCTGTTGTCTCCCACTTCTGAGGCCTTCCAAGGGCTGCCCACCATACTTGCCACTGCAGTTGGTGCTGCCCCACCAGCTGCTAGGAGCTGGGTCAGCCGGCTGGCCTCTGTTTCCTCTGGGAGGTGAAGCTGAGGGTTGGCATCTGTCCTCCCCACTGCCAACATTCCCTATCAGACTCTCCCAGAAGAGGAAGCTCATTCCCTAGGCATTCCCCTCCACCAGTCGGAAACCTGGAGAGAGATAGAGGTCACTGGGCTGCTGTCAGCCTCCCCCCACCCAACTGGGGAGGGGGCTGAGGCCAGGCAGGGCCTCCACCACAGCACTCCCCAGCCTCTCCTCTGAGTAGCCTTGGAAACCTTGAGAAAGAGGCCTCCCAGGACCCATCCTAGCTACAGGGAGGTTGTTGGCTCCTGGCATCTATCCTATGGGGGAGAAGCCAGCAGGAAGGGGAAGAGAAGACAGGGATGGAGAGAGAGAATAACAAAGACAGAGATAGAGACATAAATATTAAAACAGAGATCGGCAGATGTACAGACACAGCAGAGGCATAGAGGCTCATTGAAATGGGGCCCAGAAGGAGAAAGGCAGACGTAGGCAAACAGAGCAGACAACTAGAGATAGAACAAAAAGGAGGTGCAGACAGAGGGAGAGACAGAGAATCAGAAGACCGCAGGGTGGGGCCGGCTCGTGGCTCACTCGGGAGAGTGCGGTGCTGATAACACCAAGGCCCCGGGTTCGGATCCCACATAGGGATGGCCGGTTCGCTCACTGGCTGAGCGTGGTGCTGACAACACCAAGTCAAGGGTTAAGATCCCCTTACCGGTCATCTTTTAAAAAAAAAAAAAAGAAGACCGCAGGGAAACCACGGGGGTAGAAAGATAAAAGGGCAGCACAGCCTTTGGAGCCTGACAGACCTCCTACAAACCCTGCTCTGCCTTGGGTTGGCTGTGTGGCCTGTGGCAAATTACTTAACCTTGCTGGGATATTTCTTCATCCATAAAATGGGAGGCATAATTGCACCTCCTTTATAGGATTGCTGAAAGAACTAAAAGAAAGGATCTAATACACATTTAACAAGGCGTGTAATTAGTATTACAGCACCCACATGTAGCAGGATGGAGGTCCAGAGAGAAACGGCTGGTGGGTGGACCGTGCCCCAGGGCCCACCCACGTGCTGGTGGGCGATCATGCTCATGCTCTCCTGCTTCTGCCTCCAACCTGGCCCAGTCCCTCTATTGAGGAGGAAGTGTGTGAACTGGACAGTGAGGGGGCGCTGTCCCCGGGCTGGGAGGCACAGGATGAGGACTCAGGCCATGTGTGCCCCTCCACGCCCGGGGTGACTCAGTGCCTTGCCTTGCCATGCACTCATCCTGTAGGAACTTGGAGAACAGCCTTGAGGAATTCCTGCCAGAGGTCAGGAGGACAGTCTGGAGCCTGTAACGTTGGGAAGTTTCTTCTGAATTCCATCTTCCGTCACCTCACCATTGACACACCTCATTGTGTTTTGAGGGCCCTGGGACGAGTGCCCAGTTTTGTTGTCAGGTGAGCCAGGGAGGAGCCACAGTTTCCAAACATCTCTCCCTCTCCCCCATTCCCCACAAAGTAAGGGTGAGGCTTACTGGAGTCAGAAAAGATTTCAGAGTCTATCAGTTCATCCACTCCACACAAATCTTTAGTTACTGCCTGCCGAGCGAGTGCCAGGTGTCCTGGATGTAGGTGCTGGCGGTGCCAGGGATGCAGCGGCAAGGCAGGCAGAGACATGCCCTGCCCCTACGGAGCTCCAGGCCAGTCTGGAGCACAGACGATAATGAAACGTAGTGGCTCCTAGGAGGGGAGCTGTGGGCAAACATCTGGGGGGCACTAGGTCTCCCAATAGAGCATTGGAAAGGAATAAGATTTAGGGGTTCCAGCCATGTGGGGAAACCAGGCTCACAAACCAGCAGTCACAGGTTAGGGGATCCATCGGCTTAATCAGCCCTTCAGACATGAGGTGTACCAGCAGCTGTGAACTCCTGGACTGGCCTGGGTTAGTTCCACTTGCTCTCAGAGGAGAGACATGGGTGCCAAGGCTTTGGCTGGGGCTTGGGGAAGTGTCTGGCCTCTGGCAACTGACCCATGTCCAGTTTACAGCCAGCCTCAGGGAGGGCAGGGTTGGGGGAGAACAACCCAGGTGTCCTGTGAGCGTCCATGGTAACTGTGCTAAGAGCCTGTAGGAAAGCCCTGAGGGCGGGGAGAAACGGGTGAGGCTGGAGCCACCGAGGGGCTTCCTGGAAGAGGCTGGCTTGGACCTGGGCATTCCAGAGGTGGTCTGTGCAGAGTTTGCTGCGTGGTGAAAGGCCTGTGGAGGCAGCAGGCTGTCCAGTGTGATGGGAGCACAGGGGCTGTGAGGCTGGTCACCTGGTGGGGCTGGCCCCTGGGTGTCCTTTCCTGTGGTGTGGGGAGCCACAAAGGGTGCTAGAGAGGGGCAGTGGCCAGAGCAGAGCTGTACTTCCTGAAGGTAATCTAGGGGTGACAATGAGCAGGGTGGGCCAGAGAGGGAGCGGCTCCTTAGCCTGTGTCACCCCAGGGGTAACCTCCACTCACTGCTTTGTCCTTTGAAACAGATTTTTTTTTCCTTTTTGTCTTTTTTACTGACCGGTAACTGGATCGCAACCCTCAGTGTCGTGCCTGTACGGGGGACCGGCAACGGGATCGCAACCCTTGGTGTCGCGCCCGCACCTCGCTCAGCCAGTGAGCGGGAACCGGTCTCCATATGGGATCCGAACCCTTGGCGGGAGCGCCGCCGCGCTCTCAAGTGGCGCACTCTCCAGTGCGCCACCTGGCCGGCCCCAGATTTTTTTTTTTAAAGCAGATTCTAATCCCACTATTGCCTCTGGCAGCCAGCTGGCCCTTGGACAAGTCATTTTACCTGAGACCCTCCATTGACTCCCTGTGAAACGGGGATAACAATCACTAGCACGTTACACGGTGGTGGCGAGGGTTGGGACTGGCACTGGTGCCAACCTCCAGTAGGTGTGTAGTAGATGTTTGGTGAATCAGAATCCCTACAGTTTCCCTATTTCCTAATGAGTAAACAGGTTGGGCCTAGGACCCTCTAGCTCCTGTTTCCTGAGACACAGAGAACACAAGGCTGGCCCCTCACCCCTGTCCCCTTCCCTCTCAGCCTCTGGAGCACACGCAGGCTTCCTGTTCCTCCATCCGGCAGGCATCCCTGGCGTGCTGAGGGCCTGGCTTGGCTGGATGTAGGAGGGGCTCTGTGCTTGTGTGTGCAAATGTTTACACGTGTGCTCTGTGTGGCACGTGGAGCAGAGGAGGCTGTTGGTGGAGCTCCCTGTGTGGGGAGGGGAAGAGTCTTCGGACCGGGATCTTACTGAGTGGAAAGAACTCAGTGATCCTGTCTCCATGGCCAAGATAGGTTAGGAAAGGACACACAGACAGACACAGAGACAGGGAGAGAGACAGAAAGACAAGAGAGATACAGGGTGAAACAATCTTAGCACCAAGCTTAGATGCCTGGCTTGGTGAGTGGATCACGGCTGGAGTTCAGCATCCGCTCCCCCGAGAGAGACAGAAAGACAAGAGAGATACAGGGTGAAACAATCTTAGCACCAAGCTTAGATGCATGGCTTGGTGAGTGGATCACGGCTGGAGTTCAGCATCCGCTCCCCGCCTTGAAGGTGAATGCCCTTGTACAGTGAACATACTGCACAACTGTGCATGACAGCCTTGATATAGAATAGGAAGGAGAGAGGCAGAGAGATGGAGACCAAGAAAATGATGGAGGAAGGGAAGGAGGAAAAAGGCAGATAGCAGAGAGTTTCTGATGAAGAAT